GACATTCCTGGATGTTCTTTTCTGCTGCCTTGTCTCTGTTTTCTACCTTGCACCTTTCCCCTCCCCTTGTCCAGAGGAAGCCAATTCCAACTGTTTTCAGCACATGAACATTTTCAGACAGAGCATGAGAAACACGTCAAGGATGAAGCAGACAAGGCTGAGTCAATCAAATGGCCCATTGCAAGGTATGAAAAGCAAAGCAGCGTCTTCACTAACTTCTTTGTCAGTAAAAATCAAGCCACAGAGGGAAGTTACAAAATTGCACTTTGTGTTGCAAAACATGGAGAGCCATTTACAGACGGAAATTATATAAAAGAGACTTTTTTTTCCGGCTGTTCAGATGCTTGTTCAATGGCTTGCCCAATAGAGACACAATTGTCTCCAGAATAAATGCTGTTCAGATGCTTTGTTCAATGGCTTGCCCAAAAGAGACACAATTGTCTCCAGAATAAAAGACTTGCCTTTGTCTGCCAGGTTGGGGCGAGTGGCATGGGTGAAATGGCAGGAAATATTAACAAACAGCAGACGGTGGCATTAAAAGATGCAGCAGTATCAGTATTGTGCTTGGTGAGTGCGTGGACATAAACAATGTACCACAGTTAGCAGTTCTTGTGAGACACTGGGCCTTAGAAAAGTTTGAGAAGAGCAGTGCTGTCTAAAGCCCATGCCTGGCACCGCAACAGGGGACAATTCAGCAAAGACGTTTGTCAAATGTGTTGAGGAAAGAGGAAATGACATCACAAAAATATTTTCTGACACCTGATGGTGCCCTACTATGGTGGGAGAACAGAAGGGATTTCTAAGGATCATTGAGGAGCCCATTGGCCACCCAACGGAACATTTTCATTGTATTATTCACCAAGAACATCATTGTGATGAGATTTCTGATGCTGAGCTTAAAAATGGGATGGCTACGGGGTGAAGATGGTGAATTTTCTTATTGCTCCATCTGCCTGGATGCATTGGCAGTTCCAAGTCCTGCTTGAGGAGATGGACAATGCACACAAGGACCTTCCGCTTCCCAGCAATGTTCGTTGGTGAAGCCATGGGAAGGTTTGGACGCGTTTTGTGGACTCTCCTGTTGCAAGCAAGATCCTTTTGCCAGGAAAAGGTCAAAACTACCCCAAACGGGATGATGACATTACTTTGTGAACAGATATTTTCACATATGTCCATCCCGGAGCCGGTTAATGACTGAACACTCAGAGGCTTGTGTGCTGTGTAAAGTATCAAACCACGAGCCCAAGATCAGAAAAGTCGGCAAGGCAAAGCAAGGCCACAGATCGTCCGGTTATCTGAAGTAGTGGGCTGTGCCCACAAAAGCTCATGATACTATCTATATGTTTTATTAGTCTTTAAAGTGCTACCAGACTATTGTTTTAGTTTTTACTGAAAGATAAGATCTGCGTCTTAATTTCTTTATTAATGAAGCTGCTGTAAGTAGGACTTTTATTGACTTTACAATTATCAAAGGCACTTGGACCCATCCATAGAGGTGAATAAGTCAGATTTTGACATTCCACCTCGAAAAGGTTGCTGACCCTGGTCTAGTTTGTAGCAAGGTACAGAAGCAAGAAGAGCTTCCTTTGCATTGCAAATTGCTTTTTCTTTCATTTTTTTTAATCTGAAAATAATCCTTGGGGATCTCTGATCCGGCCACACAAACATCACTTTTCCCTTTTCAAATCACCATTTTCCCATCACACCTTGTCACATGGAACCTCTTGTTTTTCTTCCAACGCTGCACACACAAGCTCTCAACTCTTCGTTCCCGTACTGCTCTCTGCGGGGGTTTAGCACGGTGAGTTGATGTGGAGGAGAAACAGAAAACCCCTCCCAGGACAAGGAGCTGCTCCCTTCTCTGACTCTCCTGGGGCTCCCTGGGCTTCCATGGAAGCAAACTCCTGAGGGCTCAGGGGAGGGGGTGTCCCAGCCCCGCCCTTGGCTGCTAGCAGAGAAATCCTGCCAGCTCCATGTGTCCTGCAGGAGGAGCCCCCAGAGACGCAGGAGAAGCAGCACAGGGGTTTGCTGTGGGGTAAATGAAAGCAGAGGACAATGGCTCCTCTCAGGGGGTTGTTTGGGTTGATCTTGTGACCCTGGTGGATGAATCTGGAGGTTAATTGGAGTTTGTGTCAGTGGGTTTGGTTGGGCTCAGGCCCGTCCACTGGTCACCTCTTCGACCCAGACCTCTCTGAGCAGACCCTGAGCAGAGGAGGGACCCCTGACTCCCTGTTCTGACCCCTGTGGCAGTGGAGAATGGACCCAGCTTCATCAGGTGCTTCTGAGCTTCTAGTGAAGAGTAAAAGCCGGGATGGTCCCAGGAGTTTCCAGAAACATGAACCAGACTTCTCAAAACCCTCCCTCCACCACGAGAGCCAGATTTTGTCCTTGCCTGGCAATGACAATGTTTCCCCTTGAGCCCAGGGACAGGCTGCAACCTCAGTTACCTCCAGGGGGTGCACAAAGAATTTGAATCCCGCCGCCTCCTCAGCAGAACCACTGTGCAGCACCCCCTCCTTTGGAAAGTAAGTTGGAGGTGGTGGGCTGAGTGGGAGAGTGGGGGTCAAACCCATGTGGTGGCTGCACTTGGGGCCAGGGCTGAGTCTGTGGTGTACGGACAGCACCTTATTGTGCCTAACCAGCTTTCAAGTGATGGCTGGACGAGGGTTCTCGTCTGTGTGTGTTTCACTGGCGTGGTTCTGTCCAAAGCACGTTATAGGTTTGGTTTTGACCAAAGGCTCCTCAACGTCATTGCTTATTATAGATCCTCTCACACAGCCATAGCCAGTGGAGTGTTCTCGTGAGAGACACTTGAGGAAAAGGGGCGGCCCCCACTCAGGTCCCACTGATGCCATATCCACCGTTCAGTCTGGCCTCAGTAGGAGATGTGTCTGAGCCAAGGAGAGTAAAAAAAAAACCTCGTGGATGGAGGACGTGGCTCAGCTGATTCTCAGCCACCTAGGAACAGGCTGTTTTTCTAACTCAGCATTTTTCAACTCTGTTGAAACAAATAAACAAAGAACAGTTTCCCTCCAGCTCTACCTCAACGAGCATTTTGAAGAGGTGACCTAGGGCCTGTAAATACCTTGCAAAACAAGCCAAGCTCCAGCAAGACGACCAGGCCACACCAGGTGCAAGCTCCGTTGTTGCCCAGCACAGTGGGCCCATCAGAATTTCCTTGTGGTGGAGTGTGGTCTTGCCCTCCTGCTACAGGAGTCCAGGGGTGACATGCTACACGTTACCCTTTGGGAAGTGTCTCGCGTATAGTACAACATTAACAGCATCTTGCCCCTGTTCTTACGTTGTATCAGAGGAGTTTGTGGATCACCTTGGGGGGTGCTGTTACGTACGTGTCATAGATCTGTATTATGTAAAATTACAAGCACTATTTTAAAGACAAATTTCCTGACCACAGTACAGATCTCCTGTAAACATTTAGGCTGTGTCTATAGAGCATCCTTAGCTGGAAATAAGCTATGCAATATGCATTAAGTAAATTGCGTAGCATTTCGAGGCTATTTCGAAATAGCTTATTTCATAATTTGGTGCTATATTCACAGAACCAAATTTCAAAATAACTCACTATTCCAAAATGCCCTTAACACTCGTGGAAGGAGGGTTACCAGGACGTTGGAATAACCTGCCCCTTATTTTGAAATAAAAAAAATGGGCTGCTTGAATAGATGCAGAATAGCTATTTTGGGATACTTCTGGTATCCCAAAATAACTCTGCAGTATAGACATAACCTTTAGATAGCAGCAAATATTAAAGTAAGCCCTCAACAGGGAAGAGGAAACTGAGACTTGCATTTTGTGGTACATGTAGGGCTTGGACAAAAGTGATTTGGTTTTTTTTGGAACATGTCACAGTTTTGGAAATCTATCAGCAGATTTCTTCAAAGGAACTTCAATGAAAACGCCCATTTTAAGGGAAATACCCACATGAACCGAATAGAAACAAATAACATTTATTAAAAAGTTATTTGTACAGAAGTAACAAGACTCATATTTAAACATGAATGTTCATGGCACACGTCCCAACAAGCGCCCATGACTTCAGTATTGGTGCATAAGACCAAACTAACTCCACTCAGGGATGGAAAAACTTAGGGGGACACTGGTGACAAGTGTTGCCGGCTGCCCCACAGTCACAGGGGAAGGCGACTTTGGCTACTGTGGCAGGAGCTCTGGCTGGAGACCCCAGTGAGATCTCAGGACACAGACTGGTACAAATCGTTCCCTGTTGCTGCGCAGCTTCCAGCTTCCCCCCACCCCCCAAACCCTGATTGGTTAATTCTGCATCCTACCATCCCCACCTCCACCTGTCCCCAGCCCAGCTGTTAATTCAGCCTCTGCCCAATCCCCACCTCTGCCCCTGTAGCAGCCCAAAGGAGCCTTCTCCTTACCTCTCCTATCTCTGGGGCTGCAGGGAGGGAGGGGGAGAAGCTTTCAGGCATCATAAAGATGAGGGGCCAGAGGTTGGGTAATGGGGTGTCCTGTGTGGTCACAGCGACTGGGTTGTGTGAAGCCAGAGAGGCTAATTTCAGGGACACAATCTGAGCTGGGATTTCCACCCTACCCAGAGCCAGGGTTGGATTCTCTCCCCAGGGAGGGAGCCCGGAGGGAAAGTGAAGATCGGGGCCTCGGCACCAGCATCGATAAATGTCACCTGCCCCCGGTCACAGTCCAGACAAACCCGGATCCTGCTGGGGGGGCTCAGAGGTAGGGGGGTCACAGGGTCAGTGAGAGCCTGGAACTGATCCCCCCACCGCCGCCCTACAGCCCAGATCCCGCCCTCGGGGCTCAGGCTGATCTCTCCCTTCCTGCTCACAGACTCTCTGGACACCCCCACAGCCCAGCATGGCCCATTCCCCACCCCCACCTCCCAGTAATGTCTCCCCGAGGTGAAGCCCTCACGGCCCAGCACACAGGACACACTGTCAAATCTCTCCGGGGTGTCGGGCAGTGGCTGGGCGGTGTTTGCCCCTAATCCTTCATGGCCCAGCACACAGGGATCAGAGTCAAATCTCTCTGGGTTTTCAGGCAGTCGCCGCCGTGTGTATTCCCATCTCACACGTTTCCCATCCCCAGACAAGCCGAGGTCGGGATGAGCCGTGTCTGGATCCAGAGTCACCGTCACTGGGGAGAGAGAATCAGGGCGTGAGGGGCAGAGCTCAGCCCTGGGGGCGGCTGGGGCCATTTCTCACCCTCCCCAGCAGCCCTGTTCTACCTGGAAGAGGCCTGGGCCCCAGGGAACTGCCTCTGCCCTGGGCCCTGAGACTGAGCCGAGCTGTCACTGCAGCGCCTCAGCCTGGGCAATGGGACCCGCTTCGTCAGCCTCTCATTTGTGTGCAGAGGCTGCAGCCTCCTGCCCCCCAGCTCGGGCTGCTCCACCCCCAGGGCCAGGCCCAGAGCAGGAGGGGCCAGTGGGGGGGGGCAGAGGAGGCAGGTACCAGCTTTAACCCCCAGAGGGAAACTCCCTCCCCTGCTGCAGCCTCCACCCCCCACCCAGGGCACAGAGGGGAGGGGGCAGCACGGGGGAAGAGCTGCCTCACCCCAGAGAGCAGGGCCTAAGCATTTGTCACCCCCAGGACAGGTGGAGGGTCCAGGGCTCCTCAGGGCAGCCGGGCTCAATGGGGAGAGCCCAGCTCTGGCTTCTGGCCTGGCCCGGGGCCGGGGCTCTGGGGGAGCTCTGGCTTCTGGCCTGGCCGGGGGCAGGGCTCTGGGGAAGGGGATCTGGGGCAGGGGCACTGGGAGGGGCCAGCACAGGGCAGAGGCTGGTGCCCAAGGAGGGGCTGCGCTGATCAGCTGCCCCGACACAAAGCACAGCCCTGCCAGCAAAGCCCCCTGCCCGCAAACTGTGCCCATAGTAAGAACTGGGGGGTCCGACCATCCCATTGCTTAAGGGGGTCAGGACACGGCCCCTCGTCCTTCTGACCCAATGCCCCTGGGGCTCCTCACCGCTCAGTGGGCAGGTTTGGGGCTCTGCCTGTCGTGGTCACTGGGGGTTTGGTTGGTGACTTGAGCTACAAGCTCAGGAAGGTGTTTTCAGTCTCCACTTGAAACCTCACCCTGTCTGAAAGCTCCCAGGGACTTTCCTCTTGATCCCTACAGTGCAGAGGGCAGCATGTCTGGTGGGGGAAGGGAGAAGAGAGGTGAGATTTCATGAGTCCATATTGCCCACAACACTCCCAATTCTAACACACAGACCTGGGTTTTCATTATAGCAGAGACACACTCCAGGTGTGTTTACACTGCAGGGAAGATCCAGGCTGCCGCTGTTGATTTCCCAGCTCACTGTCCCCTCCCCCATCCCTTTTAGGTACTTGTGAACTCCCTCAGAGTCTCCGACAGTACAGTGGTTTTCTGGGAGAAACCCCTGACTTGTTCTTCCAGTTCAGTGTCAGTCTGGAGCCTTCCTGTCTCCTCATCCAGCCGGGCCAGCAGGAGTCGCTCTTGTTCCCCCAGGAACTGCTGCAGCTGCTGAAACTCGGCCACAATCTTCTGCCTCTCGGTTTCTGTCTGTTTCTGTATGAAAACCGGGACAGGGCTGGTCAGGGACATGGATGGAGCCCAGGGCCCTTTCATGAGGAGCTGAGTGCACAGCAGGGAGGACTTGGCAAACCCACAGATTTCTGACACGAGGCTCTATCCTATGGGTACTAGGCTGAGGCGTCACACTGGTGCAGATACCCAGGGGCTACGTCTAGACTGGCATGATTTTCCGGAAATGCTTTTAACATAAAAGTTTTCTGTTAAAAGCATTTTCAGAAAAGAGCGTCTAGATTGGTACGGATGCTTTTCCACAAAAGCACTTTTTGTGGAAAAGTGTCCGTGGCCAATCTAGACGCGCTTTTGCGCAAAGCTCTTTTTGTGGAAAAGTGTCCGTGGCCAATCTAGACGCGCTTTTGCGCAAAAAGAAATCTCAGCTGGCCCTTTTGCGCAAAAGGGACTTTTGCCCGAATGGGAGCAGCATAGTATTTCCGCAAAAAGCACTGATTTCTTAAAGTAGGAAGTCAGTGCTGTTGCAGAAATTCAAGCGGCCAGTGTAGACAGCTGGCAAGTTTTTCTGGAAAAGCGGCTGATTTTCTGGAAAAACTGGCCAATCTACACATAGCCAGGGAGTACACAGAAGCAAACCCTCAGTTCCTCCATAATTTCAGTTGTTTACTGTTTATATTAGTTAGTGTGGAAGAAAAAAAGATCCACCACACACCTCCAAAGCCTACTATCACATAGTTAAAGACAGGCCTGCTAACCAGGAGGTGGTGAGAAGGGAGCAGTTTTCCTGGGGCCTGGTGATTCAAAGGGACATGGGGCTCTTGGCAATTTAAAGGGCACAGGGCTGCAGCTGCCACCAGAGCACCCTGCTCCATATGGCAGAGAAGACTGGCTAACTGGCCAGGCACATTCTACCTGAGACTCCACCCCTTCCAGGAGCAGAGAGCCAGCTTACCCCCCCTTTAAACTGGCTATGCTAAGCACATGCTCCTTTTTCTCCCCCCATTGCTGCCACTGATACAGAGGCAGTAAGGGGTAGGGGGAAGTGAGTACTCGACTATTCACATCCCTAGTGGGGGGGCACTGCTGCTTTGAAATGCCACGTGGAACTTGAGATCAGCTGTGGAGTCCCCAGCTGACCCCGGGCTCCACACGCGCAGCGACACTCAGCTGAGCCTGGAATCAGCTTTGCAGCGCTGCCACTTTGAAACACCGAGCCAGGGATCAGCTCAGCAGTGCTGCCCCTTTGAACGCTGTCTTGGCGTTTCAAAGCAGCAGCGTCACACAGCTGATCCCAGGCCTAGCTGTGCATCACTGCCGCTTTCAAGTACCCTCTTTTCCCCCTCCACTTTGCGGCCTCTATCTGCTGTCTACACAGCTCCTTTTTGCGCAAAAGCCTCTTGCACAAATGGGGATGCTAATTAATTATTCAAATGAAGCATGGCGATATTCCACGCTGCGCTTCATTTGCATAAGCTTTTCTGGAAGATGGCTACAGTGTAGCCATAGCTCAGGAGACTGAGGCTGAGGGTAGGGGCAGGAGAGGGCGGCACCTCTACACAGAATAAGGTAGGTGGGGATGGTCTGACAGAGGCAGGGACAGGCCCACAGAGGCCGACCAATGCAGGTGGGGGAGGCCTGGCAGGCAGGCGTGGGCATGTCCTGTGCTTTGCAGATGGGTCTGTGACTCCCTTAATTAAACAGGCTGATTTCTGTTCAGGGTGGCTGAGGTTTGCCCCAGCGCTGGCCTGCAGTGGTAACACCCTCTGGGCAGGTACCCACTGCCCCGGTGCCTGGTACAGCTCCTGGCAGCAGTGCATTCTTGGAGATTCCCAAAGGCTGCGTGGCACAGGTCAGAGTAGCACCGGGCAGCTCCAGCCAGGGGGTAGTTTTGCTCCAACCCAGTCTGCTCCCAGTGGTGTCTGGCGTGGCCCTGCACTGCCTGGAGCACTGCTGTGGGTGAACTCGAGGTTCTTGGGTCCCACACAGTGTTCAGCTGAGCGATCTGCTCTAGTGCCAGTCATAGCCTCTGGCTACGTCTACACTGGCCCCTTTTCCGGAAGGGGCATGTAAATTTCAGCAGTCGTCATAGGGAAATCTGCGGGGGATTTAAATATCCCCCGCGGCATTTAAATAAAAATGTCCGCCGCTTTTTTCCGGCTTTTAAAAAAGCCGGAAAAGAGCGTCTAGACTGGCCCCGATCCTCCGGAAAAAGTGCCCTTTTCCGGAGGCCCTTATTCTTACTTCAAAGTCTAGACGCTCTTTTTCGGCTTTTTTTAAA